AAATGAGACAGCACGAAGCCCGTAGAATGGCTGAGTCCCCAGAGGTACATCTACTGGTAAACGCTAGGGACTTTCTCTAGGTGTTTTGTGGCCTGGAATGTGTAGATGTAAAATCATTTTTAGCTACCAATGTATTCTGCTAAGTCTTTATAAACTAGAACAAATAATCAGAAAAATCATTTTATTTCAATATGATCCTTAATAATGCATTTCTTTTTAAATATTTATATAATAAATGTTAATATTTGATTATAGAATGAAATAATAAACAAAAAACAAAATCATGTTTTGTGCATTAAACATGTTATTTGTTTCTCACTGATTTATCACAAATTAGATGCAATTAGTGAAAATAAAGTATTCTATTGTATACAAGTCTTTTATGCTTGTTGCCATTTATCTTCACTCATGCAGAGTATCTGTTAAAAATGTGTGTACACATGCCAACAGGTTCACCTAGTGTGAGTACCCCAGTGTTAGTTTGTATGTTTTGATAGCTGTCAACTACATGTGTATTTTTTAAATTATTTGTCAACACTAGATGTTAGAATCATCTGTCTTCAATCAGCTTAATGTATAAATATATGATTTTTAACTCAAAAACTGTAGGAATAGAATAGAACTGATAGAATATGGATGACATCACATATTTAGACCTGTTTCAAGTCACTTGGACTTGCGGATTGACCTCCATGCATCCATGTTAGCCCACTTTGTATGTCAGACATGCCTGGACTTTGTAACTTCACACATACATCATTCATCTTTGTAGATATATACATGTCCATTTGTTTCATGATCCGATTAAGGGTGAGCATTTTTGTGTCACTAATTATCAATAATGAAGCACCATATCTTGGTTGTGTACATGTGTGGATGAATTTTGTTCAAACTAAACATGTTTCTTAAAATTATTAAGGTCTCTAGCTAATAGAAAATTATGTTCGTTTAATTCCAAATTATCATAAAAATATGGAAAACTACATAAAAATAGGCAAAATGTTTCATCAGCAAAACTAAGTCATAGTCTTTAGACCCTAGTAATTTATTAGCTGTATTGTCCTTAGCTCTCCTGTGTATTTCACCTTCACATCACACTGACGTTCACAACAACAACACCTTAAGAATATATACCGTAAAAACCCTCAAATAAGAGCCACTTTGTAACACTTTCATTTCTGGGTGGTGCTTATTTGAGGTAACATGTTGACAA